TGTAGAATAAAATGTGAAAAGAAATCAGATACTGACAGCCAAATTCCTGACATTTTGATTAAGTGTTTTCAGTTGCTTTTTTTAAGTGAAACATCTTCAGGAATATTAAATCACATGACATTTTCCAAATCTTGACGTTTAAAAATTGAAATGTTTTGATTCTTTCTAAATTTATCATTAAATGAAGTAAACATTTCAGAATAATATGATTCTTTCTACTCTATAGTATATAATAAAAATTAGGAAGATATAATGGTTACGCTTATTGCAGCTTTATTCGGCTTTCAATTAATTATTCTATTTCAGGTCACCCGGTGATTACCAATTTTTAATTTCACATATCTGATAGTTATTCTTTAGTTAGCAGTTTCGGCTACAAACATTTTTATTGAATTGATTTATAATTGATAAAAAAAAAGTAAACACAAATTATTGTACACTAGTAGTCAAATGATAGTTTCTGTGTAATTGATAGCTCCAGTAATTTACCAAATTATCTAGTTTCAAAGAACTAAATATATGATGTATACCAACTCTAAAGCGAAACCCGATCACTTTCAGGGAAGAATCTGTACAAAAACATCAGTAGTAACATTTCACTTTAAAGTCAACTGTATTCAGAAAACAACAGTTCTTCAGTTAATATGCAACAGACTGTTACCAAATATTCATACTTCCTGTGTAATAAATTTGCTAAACAAAGCCAGTGAACCTTGAAAGTTTATATTAAGGTTTTACGATCTCAGAAGTATTACAAAACCAAGATAATTCTCCTGGTGATCGACTGGATTATGAGGACGTCAACACCTGGTAGGAACCATGGGATACAGTGGACATCTGGAATTCAACGATCTGTACTGCGCCGAAAATCTAAGCCTTCCATCCCACACGCAACAACGAATGGAGAAAAAGACGGCCAGTATATTAGCAGATTCTACAGTAGTCGGCTTCAACATACACAACGGAAAAAGCCAGAGTCGCCGATCCAACATAACATGCATCATTCGAATCACGCTTGGTAGAAATGTTCTGAGAGATGTGTCGACGTTTACATACATGTGCGGCCTCATCGATAAACAAGGTGAATTTCATACCAATGTAAATACACGGATTGGCAAAGCAGGGACAAAGTTTAAGCAGTTGAAGAACATCTGTAACTGAAAGCAACTGTCAACAAACGCAAAGCCTAGGATTATTATTGCAAATGTCAAGACAGTTCTGTTATATGGTGCAGAAACTTGAAGAAATTCGAAAGCCATTACCCACAAGCAACAGGTGTTTATTAACAGCTGTGTGACCAAGATACAGCGGATCTGTTAGCCAGGCACCATCAGCAACAACCTACTGTGGGACTGGACGAACCAGTTTCAATATGAGCAAGAAATTAGGAAAACGTGCTGGAGGTGGGTAGGACACACATTACGAAAGCACCTGACTGAATCACGAGGCAAGCCCAAACTTGCGATCCTTAGGGCAAAGGGCGGAGAGAGAAAGACCGATGAACACACTGCTTCGACTATGGAAGATAGACATAAAGTGAATGAATAGTAATTGTGACGAATTGGAGAGAAAGATCCAGGACTGAAGCGTCATTTATCAATCCCTCAAATTCACGTAGACACTAACGTTTGCATCACCAACTATGGGACATGCCTATGTCTATCTGATGAATCCTAGATGGGACGAAATGTGCTTCCGAAATTTCTAAGCAAGCCAAAATTTCTCTATTCGAAAGACACTTATGGATAAATACATACAACGAACCAGTACCCATAGCGTACACGTGTGTCAACAAACCTAGTTCTAATTATCAAATACCGCCCAGTTCAGGCTCATATCCTAATGATCCTGTGACTACTGCTCATGTAAGCATTGAGAGTTGGTGGAAAATAAACTGTATTTTTTTGTTAAACGCAAATCATGATTTTCGGTCGATGATTATGTGATTATGTTATTGTTGAAATCACAAAAGGTAATCAGTGCATACGTGATAATACCGAATTTTAAAATAGATAAATCAAAGAAAACATGATTATTTTTAAGTGAAATGCTGATATCTGAAGTATGATTTTGTTTTTTTATTCCTTTTAGGTTAGTTGAAATTGTGACCTTATTTTGAGTAAAGAATTTAGTGCGAGCGTTATAAAGGTAGATATCTCTTGGTAACAGCTGTAAAACTAATATTTAAAATCTTAAAACAGTTAGTCCCTTTCACAAATTTTGCTAGAACAGTGAGAAGACGTAACTGATATGAAAAGTGTGATGTAAATTAAAACCCGTCTTATGTGTACAGAAACAATTTACTCTGGTAATCTTTAAGCCTAGGACAAAGTGACGATTTTCTACCCTTTCTTATTCGTTTCATATTGCGTTAATTTCGTCTCTCCTTGATTTACAGTTATCATTCTTTGTCTATTTGAACTTTTATATAATTGACCTTTTATTAATCTTCATATAAAGTGCCTTGACAAGTGTGTGTGACCAGATTGTTCGAAATGTATAGCGCAAATACATCACATTTTTCAGATCAGTTACGTCTTTTCACTATTCTATCAAAATTAAAATCTTAGTCAAATTAAAAACCTACCTATAAAACGACATGCAAAAATACACAACTAATTCTGTTTTATTAATTTTAGTCATTGATGACTTGAATTAGTAGCTGATCGGAAGAATTAAATGTATCAACATATTTCTATATTTCATCGGTAAAATTAATAAGGATCGGTGACATGGTACAAAGAAGCGAACTGTAACAGAAATTCATCGTTTATGGGATTTAAAACTAGCTTCTTTCTGTTATAACACATTAGCTCATTAGTTTAAAGGTGCGAAGTGGATAATTCAGTTCAAAGTTTAAGACCTAGAGCTCCTACTAAGCGTCGTTGAGTTCTAAACTTTTCCAGAGAAATAATCATGAACTGATACAGATATTCTTCATCTCTAGTCATGGAAAAATCAAAACATTTTGGTTCATGGTTTGTAACTGTGATTAGAACCATTAAACTTACAAATAAATAACGCATTTCACTTGATTTGTGCTATTTTTAAATTACATCTGTCAAGAAAATTGTGTTATTGATTCATTTCACTAACATTCTTCACATTATTTTGGATGATGAAATAAGTATCGACCGTTCAAACGTCTAGTTCATAAAATGACTTTGTTCTAATCATTTTGCCAGTATGTAATGATATATAGCTGACAATTTCTACTTCGACTGACAACTTAGTATCAAGATACAAAAATACATAATTCATAAACATAGGATCATAATTACTCTGTAACAGAATAATACAATTTGATTTGTAGTGAAATTTATAGAAATTCCGGAAAGTAGGATAATATTCTCGGCAAAATGTTCATTTTTATGTTGAGTGGCTGTAAATGATATCTAGTTTTTAGAGTACAGAGGCCATTTCAAATTTAAGGAACACTCTCAAGAGCATATTTTTCAATTGCATTAGGAAACAGGCTTTCAATGTTTCATGCTGTAAATGCAGCGGAAACTAATGAACAACTGGCTGTCGTAAATATTACACCACTTATTGTCAGAGAATGAAATGCAGTAGGTTTATTACTCAAAAAAATTTCAGTAATTGTGCTTTCTCGAAATGGTACCATTTAGTTATGTAAATTTTAGGATGACTAGTCATTTATTCTGTCCGGAAGATCAACACAATTACACCATAGATCTTCATTAAAATTATTTAAATTACCGAAAGCTACTCTAAATATTTGACAGTTGTAATAGATATCTAAAAATGAGATAATTTTACATTAATTTAACTTTGCAAATGTTCATTAGTATACATTTCTCTCAGGGCATAGTTATGTTTTCCCAGGATAATGAAGGATTTCATTAGGTTTCGGTCAAGTTAAAACCTAGATCCTCATTTTTCATAACTAATGCCTTAAGCAAAAAAAAACGATTATTTAATGAGTAAAATATTCAGATAAAAAGTTTCCAAAGTGCAGCATAAAGTAAAATGCTATATTTATTGTAATGTAAGAATATAAATAGATTTCTAACGTTTTAAAATGTTGACTTAACTCGACAAAAATGTATGACAGTTTCTTGGTATCAATGTAGATGCATGTCCTACAAATGATCGACCAGATTTTCTACTTTTATAAACAATAAATATATACATGTGAGAAATGTAACATTCCAAAATTGGAAAACAGATGAGACAAGATAATGAGTTCCAGCTGTTAATAACACAAGACATTGGTGAAATAGAACTTTAAATTTAAATCACCTAAGCCATTCAAATATCGCGTGCGAAATTATACTTATTATCATCACAAACTGTTTGAAAAGAATAATAGTAATAATAATATTAATGATAATAAAACTTACAGCTTATTCTTGAATAAGATTTTTATTTTCGTTTAACTACATTTAAATCTACTATGAAAAAACTTAATTGACTTTGTAATCATTGTAGATGAAGTTAGGTAAGCAGTTCATCAGAAGTTGAGCAATAACATGCCCTTTCATTTGCAGATATCCATTCGTAATTTATTATCGGAGTCATCATTTAAAAATGTTGCATATTCGCTATTGCAATTAGGAGAGGTTAAGGTGAATTGAAATGGTTTACAAAAATCTCAAACGAATTCATATTTCCCTAATATAGGTTTTGAAGACAAAATTCTGTCAAAAAGAATGACAGTGTCTTTCGATAGGTTTTATGAGTTTTTGGATGAAAAAATGAACAGACGCGTGACAGAAAATTATGTCGTCTACATTTTTCCAAGTATTTTAGGAGAATATCATCAAAAATCACCCTTAAAAGTTGCATCAATTATAAACCGGATAAATGGTCGTATTAACTTATTTTGATCCATCCGACTGAAGCACTTTATGGGTTACTGGCGATCCCAAGTCCCCATTAAGGAAGGTTGGGCACGAAGTTAGTGGCCCCATGCCGTAAAATCATTCTCTCAAATAATCAATTTTATCTTTCACTTTTTAATGAAAACACATACTTACCGAATTTATGCATTTGACTTTGGAGGAAATCCGATGTTTTCTCATCATCACATATATCATAAGGAATTAATCCATCGGCATTGCAAGCCTTCAAATCCGCACCACTGTATAATCGGCATATAATGTTGTAGAAGAAAAAATACGGTAAAATTGTAATTAATCGGTATGTTACATCAGTAACATTTCAGATCTAAGTATCAAATAATACGATTTTAAAATTTTCACTGTAGTCAAGCAGTTCAAAATGAAATGATGAATATTACATAAATGTCTTGATTTTGACGAGTATTTTTAAACTTGAACACAAAGTATTAATTTTGAGCCAGATAATATTAACTCCTCAAACTTCACAAGGACTTTGTTACGATTAGTGGTGTCAGTGTAAGTTCAAATCAATTAACTACTGGATAAAAGTCTCAGATGAAATACTGTGTAAACTGGTTAGTCAAATCTTCGAGTTTGAAATATTTGTCTTTTTTAGTTTGATGAATATTACTAGCATATCACTGGTAAAATAAATTTCTCAATTTAACGTCGGTTTGCTAGTGTATTAATAAATATGAACATGTGAATAGATGCAAAATAAAATGACTGCTAAGCTAAGTATTATGTTGAGGAACATAATTCACATGGTACATCAGCACTTTTTCAAGTTCACTTCAAGTTATGTTAAATTCTGATAAAATCGGTGAAACAAATAAATGCAAGATTATAGTTTCATGGATCACCATCTTTCACAAACATATCTAGGTTAGGAGAACCGGAGTTATACTTTAATGATCGACCATGTCCCAGTTATTTAGTTTCTCTCAAACCACGTTCTTCATTCAATGAATAATTTCTACAATCTCTTAAATATTATTTGAAAGGTTTCTCTACTTTTACGATTTTAATTCCTGTTAAATAAACTAATTTGTCTATTCCATTCATCATATAAATTACCGTGAGGTTAATTTTTTGTTATTCCGGTTGAAGAAAATGTAGTAAGCTGAGGTTGATGTTAAATTTTGTCAAAATCTGTTTTTTTTCAATTCTTAATCTTCATCGGTTACATAAATTTCACATGATGCTGCTGTAAAGCGTATAAAACCAAAACATTAACTCACCCATGACTACAATGTTACATTTTGAATGTAAACAGATCAAACAATTGATTCTGCATTCACATGTATGTGTATTGTAATATAAACATTTTCATTTAGACAGAAATTGCAGAATAACATCTCTTAAATATATTTAGTGATTCAGTAAGATTTTTTTTACATAAAACTAGTCTCTTTAAAATATCAGGGGAACAATTGCTTTAAGTTAAAGAGACGAATGTTCTCTAAATATGCTTCGAGTTTGAAAAGGAAAATTTTTCTAAATAAATATTCATGGTGATAAATATTAGCAAGTAAATCTGTTTTGGTTCAAAAAAGGGAGTCAATTTACCGTATATTCCAGATCTCAAATTGTTTACCAGGTAATAAGACTAGCATTAATTCACCAGAGGAATTTCATTTACATAATTAAGAGCAGTTAATCAGCTTATTTGTGATCAAGTTAGGTTGTCTGTTCCCATTAATATGACTGTTTCAACATGATTGACTTATAATCTTAAGTTGAGATGTAGACTGGGCGGTAAACTATTTGCTACCCTTAATTATGTAATTGATACTATGCATGAAGAGATTTTTCTAGAAAAATATCTAGACCAGACTGAATTATAGCGAAGTTCAATAGAAAGAAACTAATCTGTACATGAATTTTCAGATTGAACATCACCTAACTTCCGACTAAAATTGTAACTTTATTAATAAGGAGTAGTTTTAAATAGAACAATGAAATCAGCAGTAAATTTATTCTAATTTTATACTCATAGAAGTGAATAAATCTGGCCAATGTCGTGGTAGTTAATCGTTTATTTACTGACAGTGATTTAAGGAGTTTTGAAAAAATAGTAATGAACTACAAAATTTGATTACAGCTTTTACTCATCTCAGATAAAAAACAAACGGTAAACATCGATAAAGTCCTCTTCTCAGAAATAACGGTGATTTATAATGGCTCATAGACGAGTTAGACAAAAATATTTACCACCAAACTTTGTGAATGATACTGTTTTTTTTAACTTTATGATTTGTTATTTGATATTTTGCAAAACATGAAAACACAAAATTTGAAAATGTATTTTCTTGTGAGGAAAATAGATTCGAATCGTCATCAGTGTTTATCATATGCTCGAAATTTGTTAATTTCATAAGAACAGAGTAACATTCAGGAGTTGAACATACATTGGACATTGTATACTCTATTCATTTATACATTTCAAGCTACAACGTTTCAACATGTGATCCTTAATTACTCATAAAAGGTAAAGATATGCACCCTATGCTTTTAATAAATTATCAATAAGTGCATCACTCAAAAAGGACGTTGCATGAACCACAACTGTACAGATTTTCAGCTGTCAAAACCCCGTTTTTAGTTGGCCAGAGGATATCACCAGTATCAAAATCAGACATATCAGTAATAATGTAAACCATAAATTCATCTCTTCAGTCAGACAAAGGGATTACAGATCAATAAGCTATATACCTCAGAGGCTTTTGCAATTCATATTCTCAAGCATGATTTCTCTGTACAAAAGCACTGCGTTGAATCTAGTATTCTTCACTGGCCTTAATACTTTACGATTTCTCAAATGTCGGTAAATTTACTGCATTTTTCTTCTCTTCTTCATTATTATTGTTAATTAGCTGCAACCACAACAGTTATTGTTCTTCATACCTGATCGTCTATGATGCTCTTCATCAACAATTTGCTCACAACGTAACTTCCTCTTCAAAGCCTGTTATTTTCAAAGGATTATGTTCATTATGTGACTTCTTCATAAGCTGAAATTTCTAGATATTTCTGTTAATTGCATGGTCCATTTATATTTGTTGTATCCAAGCCATTTTTATTGCGATACTATTTTGTTTTCGTTACTCATATCAAACTAACATGTGATATGTTATACTCATTATAATCCATCCTATTCTTCTATTTCGTGATAGACTGTTTTTACGCAAAATTTACTACAGATTAAGATCGTTAAGCTTTATTAAATGACATCATAGAAAAGAAATTTCCTTCGATGAACATTTTGTTTTGCTATCGTAATCTGACGTTGAACACATTTTTGAAAAAAATAGAGACAATGTTTTTCGAAGTCATTTCCTGTAAATAGTAATTTTCAAAACTGTGAACCTCTGCAATTTAAATTTTTCAAAACCACATCAACATTCAGCTAACAATATTGGTCAACTTACACCTTCAAGCAAAATGTAACTGCATAATACCATCAACCTGCTGGTCATTTTAATTGATTTAATTGTTCTATTGAATTGGTTAAATAATTAGTGTCAATTTATAATTGAATTATTGATGTATAATTTTGTCCTTCCGTCAAATTCTATTTTATCTCTGACCTTCATACAATCAATTTAAAGAGTGAATAAAGTTTTAGGATAGATGGTGAAAGGTTATGTATTTAATATCTATGTGATGATATAACAAGTAGTCATTCCTTGCTCAATCCATTGCAAGACTATGACATAAAGGAAGAATATCAGGTTATTTCTTCAGGCCGATCCAGATGTACTTGCATCAGAATTACAGTTCACTAAACCAAAACATACCTACAGCTTTAATTTGAGGCTAATTGTGTTTGCGATAGCTTAGACAGTGCATTATCAATCTCTGGTTCAACTAGAAATGAAGCATGTGTAAAGACAGTAATTATCAAGCTACTAGGTCTAAAATATCTCAAGGTTTCAGAGTAATATCCGAGTAATCTCACTGAGCAAAACTTGTATTGGATCACTTTTTTGACACTGTTACTAACTGTTCCAATATTTTCTTTTATTTTAGGTTTTAGCAATCTTATCGTTCATGTCAGCTGTGTGCTAAATTCTTGCAAGATGGTACAAATGAACAGCTTTAAGTTGTAGAGAATATTTTTTAAGCTTTATTACATTAAATTGTCATTCACATGAATAGTTTGAATTGGTTTGTTATTTATCTACTAAATATACTTTTTTGAATGTAGTTCTCAACAATATTTCTTTTCTTCTTACCTGTTCAGTGTTTAATTGACAAATATTATTGAAACTGTCTCTCTGCTAACTTGGAAAAATTATGAATTAAAAGCTTTGTACACTGTAGAGCATCAATCAGTTACTTTGAATCGTAAAATTTACGTCTAATCATGTTCAATTAGTATATGTTTTTTAAGTCATCTGGATTTCAGAAATGGACACAAGTTTCTAACAAAACAGTTTTTGTTAGATGTGTATTAAAAAGTAAAAATCGGGAACTTGAGGGGACTGTTACCGCTCTTAAAACACACTTGTTTGTCGAACAAATGTAAAAACGAAGGGAATAAAAGGTGTCAATCACAATAAGATTTATGAGATGTTTTGCTAAAATAAAACTAAACATTATATTTCTACTTTGTGGCTCAATTATAGATCTTAAATGGCAGTAATTACAATAGTAATTATTTATACACTTTATAAGCATAACGATTATGAACGTAAGATAGCAACAGAAAAGTATTCATCAACTATGTCGATCATAGTAGTTAAACTATCAAGTTGTTTTGTATCTTTATGAGATTATTTTCAAATAAATGTTTAAAATCATTGACATAAGACTAGTTTTCTCGAAACACATTTTCATACCTCATTTTATGCATATCATATTTGCTGAAATTGAATTTTTGTTGATGCTTTCTTTGAAACAACACTTTTATGCATGAAATATTTTGTTTATATGGTTTGACTAGTTTAAAGAAAGATAAGCAGTTTCAACTAAATTGGTCTTTGTACTAAATACGCTTTTAGTTATGAACTACGTAAATAAACAACGTTTAACTGCATTTTCCCTTAGCACTATAAATGGACACATGAATGAACCCTAATACGAATTGTACTTTCGGTTGAGAGTAATTTGTTTCCAATGAATAAAAGTGAATGAACAGATAATACAGAAATAGGAATCTCATCGAGGCAATAGTCAGAGGGCGGTGAATTAATTCTCAAGCCATAGTCGCTTTTATGAGTCTGTACTTCATTTGAAGCTTATCTCTAAAAACAACCGATAAATACATGGTTTCAGAATTGCATGTGATCAATAGATGACGTCAAATTCATGAATAATAAGTAAAGATACTTTCATCTTATCAGATGTTTATGTGTTTCGCTACTAACAATATAGATGTTGTAGCATTTTTCCCAAATAAATATGTCATGTTGCGATACTGTTACACCCAAACAATTATAAGATTGTTTTGATTTGATTACAGCCATCAAAAAACTACAAAAAGAATGTTTGTCCTGAAACATGTTTACAGAAAAATTTATCAGAAGGTTGCATCATATCTAGCATTCGTCACGTAACTCTTAGCAAGCTTACAAAAGCAAAGGAAGACAGCGAGACCTAATGGATGATAGTTCACTTTCAGCAGAATAACTAACTGGGATTTCTACTAGAATCTGAGAACAGGACGTGAACTCATTCGACTGACCTTGATCACTTATCGTCCCAGTCTATAAGGAAGCACAAACATTGTCAACCTCAAAAGGCCTTTGTCATTGCTGTCCATTTCACACATTTTTATTTAACTTTATGGAAAATATTTTACATATCACATTCTCATCTTCAAGCTATTCAGAGGTCGATTTTTAATTAGGAAATTTACGTGTTGACTTAGAACAAGCAAATGATATAGTTCTGCTTGGTACAGACGGTAACAAAATGAAGAGTCTTCTTCCTTCCTTAGACAACAATGTAATGTTTGGAATGCCATTCTCTCCTTCCTGAAACAGTAGTTTGCTTCAGAATACTTCAGGGGAGTGCAGCATAACTAACAAGAGAAGAGGAAATGCGTAAGTTACTAGTATTCAGTCATGCGTGCCTTTGAAGCATTGCTCGTGTATTCCGCTACCATTGAGTAAGCAATGACTGGAATGGTACATATCAGTCACTTGAGGTTGTTGGTATGTAGTAAGTCTGCTCCATTGTTGCCTACCTCGACGATGAATGTTGCTTCTCATAGGAATAGGCTTAAAGATAGATATGGTGGTCAAACCAAGACATGGTACCAGTCTGTCGGGTTACCAACAATCGAATCGCACCATGATAACAGGTTGAGATGACCTAGTTAGAATACTGTGACCATCCTAACTAGCGGTTAGAAACTTTGAATAATAAAGTCGTTTGTAATGGTTCAGATGCATCCTTCCTTTGTCTTCATTCGAATTCTAAGCTTGCAAAATCTTATAAATCTTTATTTAATTAATTTATGCTTCATTGAATCGTATCGTTGATGCCTAATCTCTCTTATTACTACCAATATTGTTACAACCTCTACTTCTCTCATATTTAGCCAGACATTCATATCTCGCTGTGCCAACGAAGTGCGGTAACTTGAACTGATGTACGTACGTACCAGGTTTTGCTTTGTGACTAAGTGACGTGTATGTATGTAAATCCCAGAGGTTACATTGAGTTTAGAACTCAATCCCTAACTCAACATAACTAAAGACACTGTTTACACGATCCCCTGAGGTCCTATTTATGCTAAGAGGCCAGTTAATCACAACCAAACTATGAAGTATATATCTGTTACACTCAAATAAACAGAATAAATTTTTATTCAAAATCGGTGGATTTATATTGATAAACAAGTGAAACTACTAATGTCAATTCAGTAGACATATTTAACCACATATCGGACTGAAACAGATTTATTGCTGAAAGCGAAGCCAGTAGATAGTGATAGTCATAAGAATCTGCTTTGATGCTGTCATTTACATCTTTTTAAATAGACAGTTTATACATTGGGAAGGCCTATTTTAAGGAAATCAAATTTGAACCATAGTTATAAGAATCATAAAAAAATGAAGCTAATATTTTGCCAAATAATTATGCTGAATTAGCAGTTGAAGTGTTTGTATGCGTATTGAAGTGTGATTTATAACTACTCGAAAAATGTTTGGAACTTCTGTCTTATTTCAGAAGTCGTGTAAGGTTAAATATTAACGAGCGTATATCGAAAAACTAATAAAACAAATGGATCACTTCTCCTTTTGATAAATTTAAACGCGCTTACTTTCCATAAGAATTATTTCGAATCAGTTTCATACTTTATGACTAACCTATTGCTTGCAAACTGAACAATTGGTTTGTTTTGTGAATTATTTTTCTTATGACAAGAATTGATTATTTTCGTCATTTCTCATCCATCTGTCACTAGAAAGCCACAAACATAAATGTGTGTATTTCAGGACATCATACACGCATTTGAAATACTTTTTCAGCAAGTATAAATAGAATATCGATCATCTTTTTATTTCAAAATACAGAACGCAATATGGGTAAAGTGAATTTTACTATCCTGGTTATTCGTTCATGACTTATGTTTCCTTTCTGTTTTGCAGCATGGGGTTGATTCAATTTTAATGACTGTGATAAACTGAAATGGATTCCTTGCTCACCTATTTAGTGACAGCTTACAGAATACAATAACCTAGAATCTCGTGATTACTTATATTATACTGATCTATTTAAAAAGCTATTTATCTTAAATTGAACGTTGACAAAAAGACTGAATAATAACATCCACGTTTGAAAAAGTTTTTGGCGTCCGACATATATTGGTTATTATTTTGTTTATTTCACTTCTGGATGACACTGGTTTAAACAACTGAAATTCTTGAATGTTTGAAAATCTTAACGTGACAGATCCAACAATCACAAATACACTAATCTATGAAATGTTAGACAAGAAATTAGGCGTTTTTATTTGGAATAGAAAATGATTTAATTCCTAAGTATTTCACTATTCTACCATAAATATAATACTATAATGATAAAGACATTTGGTATTATAATAACGGATCGTTAAAGATATGTAATAATTACTTATGAACTGAACAGAAATATTTAACTACCATATTCTATTCTCATGCGATATTCATTCACAATGTGATATTTATACACAGATTTTTTTAATTTCATGAAGGGTAACTGTAAGATTTACAAGCAGAAAATTCCAAACGTATCATCAACTTTGTACGAAAAATCGAAATCGTCTTTCCTCATGTAACATTAGGTAGTTTATTTATCCCAGACTGTTTTTTGCAACAGTAGTTTTTAAAAAATTTTAGTTAATATTTTCAGTAACAATCAGTAATCTCCACTTCATATAAAAAAATGTAACTCGGATAAATAGTTTCAATATTATGTTATTCAACAATCATAATTAGGCCCTAGTGATCAGGCTTCAGAGATTCATTTTGAAGTGTAGACCAAATTGTACAAAAAAAATCAATATCAATAAAATTTTTGAAGATATTGATACCTACCGTTTAATTAACAACTGACAAATTTGTAGATAACCACATGTAGAAGCTGCATGCAAAGGTGTCCACAAATCTGCATCACGTGCGTTCACGTTTGCACCATAGTCAAGTAAAAGATTGCATAAAACACTGTCATTATCTATACATGCCTAAAAAGTAGAAAAATAATTTTTTTTTTATGAATATCAAATGACAAATAATGATTTAAGAATCGTAGCCATAGAAGTATGTCAAAAATGCTGTTAAATTAGATTGTCTAGATTTATGGTGGAATAGGACCACTGTCAGTCATGAACACCACAACAATAAATCTTTTTATGAATAGAGTAAATGTTAATTGAACAATATAGGTAACGCTTGAAATGAAGGTATAAAATCACAAGATAAATAATTTTGTTTGTCTAATGGTGCTCATATATCGCTTAGCATATACTTAATGGAAAGTTTTTCGAGTAAAGAAATAAATCGCTTGGGCTAGACAAAAACCAGTGATCAAGAGAAATAAGAAAACATTTTGTTAACAAATCGATTCTTAGATATTAGGTACTATTTGTCTATGCCAACTGTTATCTGTTCTGTTTATTGCTTTAACACAATTTTTGGAAATGTAAAGTACGGCTCGCTTTGTTTTAAATAATGGTACACATTGTCATAGCTATTTGAGAAAATCTACAGCAAACTATAGTATAATTTTACCTGTACTCAAGAATCAAGAAGCAACAAGAAATTCGGCATCAAAATTCAGAAATATTTAATAGGTTAACGGAATAGAAAAATTTAAAAGGTCAATAAATAATATTTTTTATAGTTTATACACTGTTACTTCTTTGAAAATGTTGTTGCAAAAGAAGTTCAAATGAATTGTATTTTAATAATAAAATAGGATGCAAAACTCTTCTTTACTATTTAGAAATTTTTATGATTTATTACACAGTAACTGAGTAAGTATTTTTGCTTATACTACTGTTGTTGTCATATTACATTATCACATGCATATTTTTACCCATAACAACAATCGCGTTCGCTAAGTAGATTCGGTTTTCTTTTGAAATATCGCTTCAAACGACAATCGGTAATTTTAACTTCACATAAAGGTAAACCAAAAAGCTCGGATATAAAATGAAAGTTTTCTGTTCGTTTAAAAGAGGAAACGAAAATAAATTTAAAAAAACAATGCTACATATTTCATAACAGAGCTTGACGTGGACGTGACAGTTTGGTTACCATAAGCAGTTTGTTGGACAAGGTTATGAATGTGAACTCTTGAAGTTCTGATCAGCGGTCCTAAGATCCTGTGCTTTTACTTTGCTTCGAACCACCCTAGTTCCAAAACGAAGACGCATCAGTAAAATCTCAACCGTGATGAATCGCTACGTTCAATGAAATAGCTGTTTAATATATTTCATAGTTTCAATCAATCTTTTAGGTCTCATCATTTCATAACATCTATTTCTACATTTTATTGGATAAAAAACCATTTCGGTCTATGCAGGAAAACAACTATTATAAATACAGCGTTTAATTATTCTTTGTTATATACTTAAGTTGATGTTTACCTTTTTAATTCCATTTCATAAGGTATATCTTGTATTTCAAGTGTCTCGTGCAGTGATGCTGTTATTGAATTATTCTGTAGTGTTTTTCTTTTTCGTTCAAGGAAAATTCTTTTTATTGTGCCACAGAACAAAGATTTTTCTAAATAAAAATCAAGTAATTTCTTATCACCATTTCTTCTCATTTGTTTGTTCATCCATTCATTTTTAACCGATATTGTATAATCTACTTAAATGAAGTAAGTATTTCCCCCTCTCTTCAGCATTTTATTAATCTTTGCTCATTTTAAGCTTGTATAATCAGATTATTTCATTAAGTATATTACATAGATATCTATTATATTATTCAATTAGAAAAAAAGGTAGTCATAGAAAAACAAATATTGATCAGTGAGTATGAGAAAAAAGTTTTTTACTTCAAGTTATAATGAAACATTTAATCGGAGGATAAATATTGAACTTTGCTTGCTTTAGTTAAAAAGAGTAGTTAGAAATTTAAATGAATTAATAATGGTCTTGTATATTCGATCTAGAAAAAGATTTCGATTCCACTTAATATTATACATATTTATGAGTTTGACATGTTTCGAACGTGTAAAATGGCCTTGTACATTGCTCTTCCAACTCAGGTGAGTATGGAGAAGATATTACTTACATCATTTTTGAACGACTGTAGAATTTTTGTTACTTCAAGGCATTGTTTCTGGTAAAAATTACTTACAGTTGTGACACATATGAAACCAACTCTGTGTCCATATGAATTAAGTAGATTGTCACAATCACGTTTTTCTTGCACAAGCAAAGATAATATCATCTTGTAACAGTTCAATGCATTCTATTTTATCCATGAATCCATGAAAATACGAACTGTTTGAACCTACAGTAAAATGCCTGGTGAATACGCTATAAAGCTCCGAAACTATATTATTATTTGCATGCTTAGATTTGAGTAGATCTGTTTTCATATTTGGACGTTGCTCTAAGGCTTTAAATTAAACTTTGTATTTTGTTGTTTTGTAAAAGAACGTTTTATCACACTAATGCTGATGTATTTTTGATCTATATAACTCAGGAAATAAATTAAGTTGTAAACGATCTCAGTGTCAAATAAATTCATTTAATGAAGTGCAAAAATACTGTGGGACTTTAAAAGTTACTGCTCTTCTTTGACCATTTACCTTATTTGTCATTTAAGTTTTAAGACTAAACAAAGATTGATCGGTCATTCAACAAATAACTGCAATTCTCAAAACGCTATTGATGTGAAAGTTTAGGTAAATTGGTTAATTTAATTCTTGACATTGCTACTAGTCTTTACAATTTGCTTAAATTTATTACACTAATAAATTATTTAACTCCGCCAGTAGAACCTTCGGGGCTACTGCCGGTCCCAAGCCCAGGTAAAGGAGGAGGGTTGGACATGGGGTTGGCGACCCCATTCCGTCGAAATCTAACTTGCCAAAAAAACGATAACCAGAAAAAATAAATGAAACCATTTTAAATCTGCCCTGGGAGTTGGAGGAAGAATTATGACGTCGCGTGATAAAAGCCGAGTTCCCTCTGAAGTCACGCAGCTGATGCCTCTTCTGACAACCAGAGCAACCATTTTTTTAGGTACATGGAACGTTCTAACATTGTGGGAGACTAGAAGACTATTTCAATTTGCGGCAGAAATGAAAAGATACAACCTCGAGGTGCTCGGCATCAGTGAAAGGCATTGGACACAGGTAGGACAACTGACACTAGCTTCAGGGGAACTGCTGTTACACTCTGGTCATGAAGAGGAAAATGCTTCGCATACACGAGGAGTTGCACTGATGCTGTCCAAACATGCACAAAAGGCACTGATAGGATGGGAATCTCATGGACCCAGGATCGTCAAAGCATCCTTCAAAACAAAGAAACAGGACATTACAATGAACGTCATCCAATTTTATGCACCTACCAATGACTACAATGACGATGTTAAAGATCAATTCTACGAAAGGCTGCAGTCAATCGTCGAGAAATGTTCACCAAAGGATTTGACGATTCTTATGGGAGACCTGAATGCCAAGGTTGGAATGGACAACACTGGATATGAAGACATCATGGGACGACATGGACTGGGAGAAAGGGACGAAAACTGTGAGAGATTCGCAAACCTATGCTCCTTCAACAAACTGGTCATCGGTGGCACAATATTCCCACACAAACGCATTCACAAAGCCACATGGATTTCACCGGACCACACTACTCAAAACCAAATTGACCATATCTGTATCAACAAAACGTTCAGAAGGACCATGGAGGATGTGAGAACTAAGAGAGGAGCTGATATAGCCTCAGATCATCTGCTGATCGCCAAAATGAAACTAAAACTAAAGAAGCACTGGACAACGGGGCAGACAACATCACACAAGTTTAATACGGCCTTTCTTCGGGATACTGTAAAACTCAACGAATTCAAGATAGCCCTCACCAATAGGTTCCAGGCCTTTCAGGATCTACTCAATGAAGAGAACACAACATTGGAGAACAATTGGAAAGGGATTAAGGAGGCAATCACTTCAACATGTCAGGAGGTCCTTGGTCGCAAGAAGCACCATCACAAGGAATGGATCTCTGTTGGTACTCTTGAAAAAATTGAATAAAGGAGGAACAAGAAGGCAGCAATCGATGTCAGCCGAACAAGAGCGGAGAAAGTTATCGCACAAGCTGCATACACAGAAGCAAACAGGGAAGTGAAGAAGAGCATCAGAGCTGACAAACGAAAATATGTGGAAGATCTAGAAATGACGGCGTAAAGGCTGCAAGAGAAGGAAACTTGAGACAATTGTACGGAACTACAAAGAAGCTCGCCGGAAACTATCGTAAACCAGAACGACCAGTGAAAAGCAAAGAAGGCAAAGTAATCAGCAACACTGAAGAACAGCGAAATAGGTGGGTAGAGCACTTTAAGGAACTATTGAATCGACCAGCTCCACTGAACACACCCAACATCGATGCAGCATCCACGGACCTCACAATTAATATTGGCGCACCTACGATTGAGGAGATCAGTATGGCCATCAGACAAATCAAGAGCGGCAAAGCAGCAGGACCAGACAACATTCCAGCAGAGGCAATCAAAGCAGATGTGGAAGCAACTGAGAAAATATTTCACATCCTCTTCAAGAAGATTTGGGATTAAGAACATGTACTATCAGATTAGAAAGAAGGATACCTGATCAAAATACCAAAGAAATGCGATCTCAGCAAGTGTGAGAACTACAGAGGCATCACTCTTCTTTCAATACCAGGCAAAGTCTTCAACAGGGTATTGTTAAACAGAATGAACGACTTCGTAGTAGCCCAACCTCGAGATCAACAGGCTGGATTTCGTAAGGATCGATCGTGTACTGACCAAATTGCTACATTACGGATCATTGTGGAACAAACAATTGAATGGAACTCACCACTCTACATCAACTTCATCGACTACGAGAAAGCATTCGATAGCGTGGATAGGAAAACACTGTGGAGGCTTCTTCGACACTACGGTGTGCCTGAGAAAATAGTTAACATCATACGGAATTCTGATGTTGGATTCAACTGCAAAATCGTACACGAAGGACAGCTAACAGACTCTTTCGAGGTGAAGACAGGTGTCAGGCAAGGTTGCTTACTCTCACCCTTTCTCTTTCTCCTGGTCATCGACTGGATTATGAAAACGTCAGCATCTGGAGGGAAGCACGGTATCAACTGGACAGTTAGGACGCAGCTGGACGATCTGGACTTCGCAGATGACCTGGCTCTTCTATCGCACACGCAACAACAAATGCAAGAGAAGACGAACAGTGTAGCAGCAGCCTCTGCAGCAGTAGGTCTCAACATACATAAAGGTAAAAGCAAAATTCTCCGATGTAACACAACATGCACCAACCAAATCACGCTTGATGGAGATGCGTTGGAGGACGTTAACACCTTTACATATCTGGGCAGCATCATCGACGAGAAAGGTGGATCCGATGCAGATGTGAGGGCACGGATTGACAAAGCAAGGGCTGCATTTCTACAGTTGAAAAATATCTGGAACTCCAAACAACTTTCAAACAAAACCAAAATCACGATTTTCAATACAAATGTGAAGACAGTTCTACTGTATGGAGCGGAAACATGGAGAACTGCCAAAGCCATCATCCAGAAGATACAAGTGTTTATGAACAGTTGTCAAAGCAAAATGCTTCGTATTCTTTGGCCAGACACCATCAGCAACAACGAACTGTGGGAGAGAACAAACCAGATTCCAGTGGAGGAGGAAATGAGGAAGAAGCGGTGGAAGTGGATAGGACACACACTACGAAAAGCACCAAACTGCGTCACGAGACAAGTCCTCACATAGAACCCTCAAGGCAAAAGGAAAAGAGGAAGGCCAAAGAATACATTACGCCGAGAAATAGAGAAAGATATAAGACGAATGAACAAGCATTGGACAGAACTGGAGAGGGAAGCTCAGGACAGAGTTGGTTGGAGAAAACTGGTGGGCGGCCTATGCTTCATTGGGGGTAACAGGCGTAAGTAAGAAAGTAAGTAAATTAAAATATCTACAGTTTAACGGAAGCATAAATTAAATGACCATGTAAACTGGTTAGTACAAACAAACGTTTTCAGACTTCGTATTTTTAACTGACTAATAACGTTTTAATATCATATAATTATATTCAATAAATAATATACCCCCTAAAGTGTCAAATAGTTTTTGGATTAATTTTTTTTAATTTCCGATAAATCAAAGCAATAGAAAGACTTATGTCATCGAAATCACACCTGACCACATGATTTATTTTAAAGGTCAACGTAACCTTAAAATGAGTTTGGAAATCTGAGGCAAATAGAATCGGATATTTGATGCCAGACTGGAGAACAACTATACAGCAAAGTGGAATTATTAAAATAACCGGTGTATGGTCAAATAGGAATAGCAGTCAATTTAGGTAACTCTCGCTCTCTCTCACTCTCTCTCTCTACGTACACAAATAAATAATATAAGCCTGATAGGAAATCAATAATTTAAAAATAGTGATTTCAGATGTTATCAATTTTACTTGATTTTATCATAATTCTGTTGTAACAAAGTGAACAGTCTCCACCTCTAAAATGTGATACTTGATCAGATATCTTATTGATTCATTTATTTTATCATTTCTGTAAAAATATATAGCTGAGCAGAATAATATTATCACTTGATTAAATTTAGAAAGTTCAATGACTTATATACTGTGTTTGCTTGAATTATTTTATATCCCAACAATGACTGTTTCTAACTTTTTTCATTGATTTTCAAAAAAATAATGAGAATAATTTCACTACATTGTTTAGTATATATTGAATGAAGATACCAACAATAAGTCTGTGAGTATGTGTTAAAAATTTGTATACTGACTAGCTGATAACCTTATTCTGCGTTACATTGGGTAAAAATCGAAACTATGCTCGATAAGCAAAAATAAACAAAGCTTTAATTAACTATAATTGTTCAAACTCAAGATGTTATGTAATTATTTACATAACTCGTTGTATCATTGAAGGTAATCGTATTCGTAGTTGCTTAGCAAGAAAAATGCTTTGTTGAAAAGTAACAGGAAAAAAATAATGCATTTCAGCAATTCTAAGTGTCAAGTGCCGCTCTTTCACCCACAGTTAAGGTTTGAAAGAATGAACTGCTAGAGTGTAAAGTGTGTGAGTTATCGATTTGTGCTCTTTCTGAACAATGTCATTTGATTGTGCAGATTTTGAAGAATATATTTTTGATGTGATAGTGTAATAAGAATTGACAAAAAGTTGAGATATTGAGCTATTGATGATTTCACATTTAAAAAGTGATGCTGGCTAACACTTGAAGGTACGCTTAGGTAGGGCTTACATTGTACGATTGATGTAACTTTCTCAAAAGAAGTAGATGAACTTCTAAATGCATAACTATGTGGTTCAGAGCGAAAGTGTATCTCTTACACATGCACAAACATTTGGGAAACTGACGAAGATAATACTAAGGTCAGTAGTAAAAAATGTTTTTACCTAAAAAACTTTATAAGCTTATTTTTTTTTTAAACTATTTAGCAATTACGCTCTTAGATAGGATGCTCATATGGAGAGTTTTAATGAAATATTATCTAATACTTGAACAGTCTCGTACGTTTAAGAATATAAGTAAATAACAGAGATTGCTTTGAACCATTCGGAAAGTTAAAAACCAAATAAAAGCTTAAAGCATTTTTATGTACACTTTATAGAGAATAAATTTATTAAAAGCTGTGTTGTGGTAATATGATATGATAGAATATTACTTACAGATTATGGGTGAAAGATCTTTAATAACGTTGCTTGTATACAACAACGGAATATAGTTTTTGTAACATTAAAACGAAATGACTAACAAGTTATCTGAACGCTGAATGTCAATACAATCATGTATACAGTGATCAGATATAGATACTGCGGTGAATAAAAAGGTTTCTTTCAATGAATTATTTTAAAACTACTCTATAATATGTCAACTCAATATTTGTTCATGTAAAAATATAATCATGAATTTGATAGAACAGTGAGATGTAATTTATCTGAAAAAGTTTCCAGATCAATTACGTCTCCTCACTGTTCTATTAAAATTTATAAAAGAGACTAATGGTTTTAAATAATCATGATTCTTTATCTACGTGACTTTAAGGAGTTTAAATTCAACATCCAACAAGAAACAGACTTTAATAAATTTATTAGACACAAATACTTATTATGCCTAAGTTATCATGATCTACTGACATAAAAAGCTAAGAACGAATGGCATTCTGGGTTCATTCATTAAATAAGACAATTTTTCGGATATACGTCACTGACTCGAAAGTACTGTTTCGGATAGCTTCTACTTCTGTCTTTATTCTTCACGAAGTTGGATGGATTATGTCACTTTTATTCACATTTCGACTGGATAAGTGCAATTATATGATGTTTCGGTCATTCAGTGATATTCAACTGTTCACATATAATACTTTTCACTGATTTTGACAAATTATATTATTTTTCTCAACATCTTTTGCTCTGACTAGTGTGTATTTAAATGTGCACATACTTACCTGATGTAAAGCTGTCAGTCCATCAACATTAGATATATTTGGATTTATTCCATGTGAAAGTAAATATTCAACTAAAATGGAAGAAGGTAAAGAAAACTATCACTTAATAGGATTGTGTAATTATGCAATACATAATAATTACACGACATATACCTTCAATATAACATTTTTACTTTGTCGTTTAAAGCAAATAAAATGAAGAATTACAGTAAAACATATTGAGTAGGCTTTCATCATTTTATGAGATATTGCAGCCCAAAGCACCAGCTGAACTACAGTTGTATAAATGATGTAAACATCTAATAATTATAGATTATAATTGTTACTTATATCTCAAGCAGAAAATGATACAATTTATATTCATTATGTTATCATTACTACGTGAATTTGTTGAAATGATTAGTTGAGACATGGAAAACAAATGATTAAAAGGAGTTTTCTAGACCTACTAAATTAAATATAAACATTTCGTCCGATAATTTATAACATCTGGTTAGATTCTATGTGCTCAGAATTTCACATAGGAAAATACTATTTCTGATCAATAGTTAAATAAAAGTATAGTATCAGAACATTTAATTCAACCTATTGAGAACTAATCAATGTTAGACAAAGTCGATTGCATGAATGACTATGTGAGAATATTTCGGGTAGGGAAAAAAATTTTTTTGATCAATTCAAAAAATGTTATCGCGACAAATTTCTCCATCTCGGAATATAAAAGCAGCTTAACTAACTAGACATTTGACGACATAAGTCAGTAAACCAGACACAGATATTTATGAATTACTGAACAGCTTCCCAATATGGGTATATTTTTCAAGTATAAACGCATTTTATAAAACGTCAACATTACGCACCGAAAATTGAATACTTGACTGCGTTTTGAAAGTCAGTAATCTCAAAACCCACTTGTTTCGAGATCATACGATTTCTTATGAACACGCATCAATTAAAGAGTTAACAAATAACACTTATTTCCTATCATACTGTTTTCTAATGTAATCAGTCTAAGATAATTTTAACCTTAATTATTACTTTTTCTGAGAAAATTCTCTCGTTAAAATAAAGAGAACTACAGACTGAGTATTTTCTTTCCGAACTTCATTTACGCAATTCACGATATGAAATACAAACGAAGGTATCCCCTTTTCAGCAAAAAAATTAGCTATTGTATTAACCGGAATAGTGGTATAGCACAATTAGAAAGGAAGTTAAATTCTTTAAATTATAAGTTGATGTCTTGTTACTGAAAATTAGCATTCACACAATTACAGCCTAAAAGTGCAACTATAATATTATCAATAAAACTACTTTATATAGGAATGTAATGAAAAAATTAGTAGATTAAGGATATACAATAATATCAAACCAATCTATGTAGAGCAACCAGTACATTTAGGTCTTGTGATAACCTCTGTTATATGATCAATAATTTTTTAGAATACCATTACAACCTAAATAATTCCTGAATCTGTAACCGGTATTATTAGCTGAATACCATTCAGAATTTTTCTGTCTTCACAAATTAAAAGTTATTAAGATGTCAAGAAAGGAGATAACCGGATGAAGCTAACAGATAAACTTCAGCTTAATTCGTCAGGATTCAACTTAACAATTTCATGATCTGTTTATTCTTAGTACACATCTTTTAATTGAAAAACTGATAGTATTTAGTTTGTCACAAACCGACAGAAAACATAGAAATTTTTTTATCTTGCATTTTAATCATCCATATTTTTATCTAAATGGCCTTCATTCAACCCAGGTAGAAACTTCTACTTCTTGGCACTAACCAGAACTTAAAGGAAAAGAAAGGTTCCTCATTTAGATAAATAAACGTAAGTAATTTTTCGAAGGTGTCGCTTATAGTTACTGTAAACGGCTGATAAATTAACACTGTTATGAAAAAAGAACTCAAACGTAGAAAACAAAACACCAAACGCAACAAATGTTTGAACCGTCTGAAAAAGGAATATGTTGCAATTTATCCACTGAAATGCGTTATTTGACTTGTAAGTCTACCTCTTTGCCTGAAATGTACTTTTGACTATTGGACATTCAATGTTGCCGAAAATAAAGTGTCTTTTAAATCATTTTCAAACAACTTAAATTACAGCAATATTGTCGAAATTGAGATAATTATATCCACTCCACTAATCATTTGATTTTATTAAGATTAAAGAGAACTCTGTTATGTACTTTAATATTGGATGATGCATGTTGTAGGAGTAAAATGATGAAACCTACTTAGTAAGGAAACGTAACATATTCGTGTAAACCATATTCAGATAAAAGTCAAATTTTACGAAAGGTAACTTAATTCCACGATTCAAAAGGGGCATTGGAAGAGTTCTTTCGAAAACATTGCAGATGTATTCTTTTATTTCAAAAATGTTTTCAATAATTAATTGTAATGCTTAATTGTAAAGCTTTATTATCATCTCAGTAAAACTTAAATTTTTCAGTATTTCTAAAGGCAAACTGTTTTAGCTCATTATCTTCACTTCATTACTATGTATAAGTATTATTAGTTATAACATTTTTTTGGGATCAAATCATAACCTTTTGAAGTTCTCAAGCTGAATCAAGATATTTTTTCTTTATATTAATTGGAACATCTGGCTTACACCAACCTATAAACGCCTTATACAGTCTGATTCATTTAGTTGTAAAAACATGTGACATATCGTTAAAAAAACTTTTATAACCTGAATAAATATTTGTTAACTATAGACGTTTTCATTGAGGCGCTAACAATTTTATAATGTTCAAAGCATTTCAAAATTGGATATTAATTGATATTAGATAAACATAATAAGTTCAACGGATTCATAGCTATGCATCAGATTATCTAGTTTACAGTTATTGTTTAGGAAATTTTTTCTGTATCTGTTTGAATTTCTCTTACCAATGATCATCTCCTATTATTTCACTTAATTTTTAATGACAGAATTTGTTTTATCATCAATTCATCCTATTGTTCAACTGTCATATATCAGCTTAATGAATAGATCGAAAAGCAGAGTAAGTTGGATTTTGACCATAAATCTTTCTCATCTTAATGTAATACATAAACAGAAATTATTTTACAAATACATGATGATAAAGGTTGAGCCAAACTATGTTGATTTGTTGATAAATTTTAAATTATTCTAGCTTTCAAATTAAAAAAACAAAATAAAAATCAGTGTTGTTGCATTATTCAGTGATAAGATAATTAATAACAAGTTATTAATAAATTGTTAGTGAATCTGACTGAAATTCAATAGCATCGCCGACTACATTACTTTTAACTAGCTTGCAATACCCACGAAATATTTCATAGTAATTGTGTGCAAAATTTTTTACACAACATTGTAACTGACTAAACGATAAACAAATGAAACTAAATTTGGAATTCTGAACGTATATTTACATAAAATTTATAATCATCGCACATTAACTTGTTTGAATAAAAGAGTTGAAACCTATGTCTAATAACTGCGGAAAATATTTTGTTAGTTACCTTGAATATTGACCAATAAATAAGACCACAGTGTACTCATCTAGTGATTTAATAGTTGGGAACCGTTGCTATAACACGTAGTAATTGTGGACATATTTCGAATGTCATGACTTTTAGCTTCCTAAATAATTTTTTCCTATTAACCGATTTCCTTTATCATATTTCAAGAAAAAAAACAAATTAAACATCTTTTTTCGCAGATAACTTTATCCCAACAAATTGTGAAAAGCATGAACTCTATAAAAGAAGATATGCTGACACACAAAGATACTTTAAGTTAGGATTCATGCATAAATACTGTTCATCGAAACAAAACAAAAAGAGTACAGTATGCAGACAGTTTGAATACATCATTAAATATTTAAATGAAGCATAGTAATACAAAACTTTAAAAATGTCTGTGGTTTTTGACAAAAGAGACCATAATAATATAAAAATATAAAAATAATATAAAATAATTTAGCATGGAATTCTCTATACACTAATCTAAGAAATATAGTATAAATATATAAAAATTACTTCTTATTATTTAGTGTGGTTATATTTAATGAAGAAATTTACAGATTATATAATATCGAATGCAAATATCACGATCGACAATAAATTAATCATGTAGCCAGTTTGACTAATAATGTTTTGAGAAACTATGTCGCTTACACAATAAAAAATTCTTTAATTGATCCGTAAATACATTGGATAGACAAAATAAAATTGACTGCTTTACTTACATGAATGTATATGAGAAGCAAGTGTTTGTTTTGGAATTCATTTCTGAATTTCCATCTAACCTCTGTAATTACGTATTATATTGACAAAGGATTCTAATCATTTTCCGACAGATCAAAATTTCCAAAAATATCTTAGCTAACTAAAAATTAATGACGAAAGTAAGTAATGTCAAAACATGCTTTTCGTGACTTACATATACCAAAGTTAAGCTGATTAAATAGGAATGTATATAGCTATTCAAAAAGCAAAATATGAGAAAGCAGCTTGTTTCAGTATGCAGAGAAAATGATCATTACTTTCACATTTAAAGGTGTCATCGATGTGAAATATTTAGTTATCCTTAAATCAACTAAGAAAATGTCCACAGCATATACGAACTGAAGATCGCACTATTTAAACAATAAAAGAGTATCGAAAAATAAACCAAATTAACTTTCTGTTTAAGAGCTTCTGGCGAAGATGTGTGTTTCTTGTTCATTGGAGCTCACTTAGGCAGATAAAAATACGAAAAGGTAGAAAAGGCTTTTTGACCAGATTTATGACATTACAGCTCCAAAATAGAAAACACAACAAGGGCGCCTTTATGAAAATAATGCCTGCTTAGGAAATGAATGTAGAATCAAAATACAAGGAGCGTATATTGTAGCTTTGTTTTATGACCTGAGGTATTAGGTGAGTTGAATATGTTTTAGTGTACGAAGTCTACTCTGATGTCAAAAAACCCATCAATAACTAAGTAGTAATATTTATATTCAGATAACTAAACCCGCTAAACAACTCAAAAGACAGAGAAGAACTTAAATAAATAAATTGGATCGACCTGTTTCTTCTAGT